TTCCAGAAGCAAGGGAACTTCAATAATTAATGCAGCATGAAGGTTATTGAGTAGATGAGTAAGTTTCCTGGAAAACAAGTTATATAGACTTCTATAATAATATAGGAAGGGAATAGGGACTGAGACGTGTGACAGTTTAGCAGTGACAAGGTGAATCAACACACAAGAAATGGTGTATTTTTCCTTTTATACTATGTCTTCAAATGAATGGCTGTCCACACTCAGCCTCAGAGAGATTAAACTGCCAGGAGGGAACTGCTTCTTTACAACCCCTCATAGCCTGTGTTTCCAAGAGCCTGCATGTGCTCAAACATCCCGCATGGAAGGGAAACATGGCTTCTATCACAGAGAACCTATCACACAGAAAGAGAGAACACAATGGCTATGTTTTTAATCTTTGTGACCTGCCAAAATCCACAATGAAACCTTCTCACCACTGTACAGGTGAGAAAATAAAAAAATTTAAAGATTACAAAGAATACTGCTGTAATTATAGCAGCTCGTTGTTTGTTTTTAATGTAATATGAACTATTTCGTTAGAGCAGAAAGAACAGATTTAGAGTCTCACTTAGACCCCTCGTACCAAGCCCTGTTTAAGATGTGAGGATACAGCAGTACACAAAGCAAACTTCATTCTCTCTTGGAAAAGTACAAACAAGATCTGCCTTTACACACTAGGTTGGGCCTCAGGTTGCCCAGATTTCTGTCCTGAGAGTGCCTTTAGCTACAATCTTGGGCAAATTAGTTTACCACGCTCCTTTCTCTCTTTGAAAACTGAAAAATATAAACAGATTTACAGAAACATATTTTTCTGAGACTAAGTTTTTGCGAATTGTGACAGCAAAGAGTCTCAAAAGAGGAATTATTTAGATCAGGCCAGCCTGTGGACATGTATACAGGATTGTCCTGATTGCTAATTGACCCCACGTGCTGTGCAGCCATTCACAGGCCGAGCCCTAAACCATGTAAGAGTGAAGAAAGCTACTTGAGCATACAGCAGCAGGCAAATGACGGGCAGCCTGGGGGCATCCATTCCTTCCCGCTCTTGACTGTGGACTTGGTGTGACCAGCTGTCTAAAGTTCCTGCCTCTGTAACTCCCCTAGGAGGATTGACTGTAACTTGGAATTAAAAGTCAAATTTCTTCCCACATGATGCTTTTTAACAGCAGCAGAAATGAAACTGGAATAGAAATGAACTCAAGATCAGAGAGCCTGCCTTGTAGAAGACAATGGCCTTTCAATCTGGCCACACACAGGAACGTTGTAGACAAAGGGCAACTATAACTAAATAATTTAGTGCATGAAGTAATTCTGAAGGTGTAGTTTTAGGCTGTGGTTCTTGATTTGCCAACAAAAAATAGGAATAACAGGTATTAAGAATGTGGCAAAGGCCTAGGCATAATAAAATATGCTTGTAATTATTTTAATTATGTGTGTGCGTGTGTGTGTGTGTGTGTGTGTGTGTGAGAGAGAGAGAGAGAGAGAGAGAGAGAGAGGTACCCTCAGAGGCCAGAAGACAGCAGTTACAGGCAGTTGTAAGCTACCTGATGTGGGTGTTAGGAACCAAACTCATATCTTCTGGAGATTGGAAGATGGTGTCAGATCCCCTAGAGCTGAAATTATGGATAGTGGTTAGCCCCCATGTGGATTCTGGGAACCTAACCCAGGTCCCCTGCAAAAGCAGCTAGTGCTCT